TTTGTAATTACTCTATGTGATGTAGGATTATAGAGCCACTTGCATCTAGATGTGCGAAGTTCAGATTCAAGCCACTTACAGAAGAAATCATGAGCACCCGCATACTATATATTTGCAAAGAGGAAGGTCTGCATTTGGATTCTGAGGTATGGAGCCTTGTACCCATACTTTTTTAACTAAGTGTCTGGTTGTGTCTAACTCTATTTAGTGGGAACTGTCGTATATTATGATTCTATAGTAATGATGCTACTGTCTCTGTCTGATACTAGGCTCTTTCTACCTTAAGTTCTATTTCACAAGGTGATCTGCGTCGAGCAATAACATACCTACAAGTAAGATTTCATTTTGTTTTTCAACTATATATATATATATATTATTATTATTATTATTATTATTTTTGGTTGACAAATATCCACTTTATTCGTATACATAGAAGTAGTTGTGCATTTTGGCTTATTTTATCTTCAAATTATTTGTCACGTGACATTCAGTTTCTTTGTTCTTAGCATGACTTTGAAATTCAGGAGTCTGTTCTTTAATATAATTAAAACCATTTCCAGAATTGTGCGCGATAATTGCTTTGATTTGGTATGGCAATACAAATTAAGTACATGATTTTTTTATTTTTTCAAAAGCAAATTACTAATAGGGACATGCTAACATGTTTATGCAGTGTGCTGAACTTTGCATTATCAAATATGAAGCATTTCATTTGTTTATATTTCGTTCAAAGATGGCGTCAATGAATAGTCAGATTTCTTATTTTTTGGTTTATTTCAGAGTGCTGCTCGCTTATTTGGATCTGCAATTTCATCCAAGGACTTAATTAGTGTGTCTGGTGTAAGTTACTGGAACCCCTCTACAATTGATTCAATGATTTTGTGCAGATTTTAAGATTCACGAGTTCTAGGCTTACACTTCTGTACATGAATTGTTCTCCTCCCCCCTTTCCCCAGTTTTGGGACAAAGGCTGTCATCCACATTTATATATTCTCCTGATTTTATTTATTATTTATTTTTCTCCCTTTGTTGCTGCATATTCACAGGGTAGAGAGTGATTTCCTAGTCATCTTCCTTTTTTTCTTTTTTTTGGGATTTATCTTGAAAGTCCTTTGAAATCTTAGTTATGCACGAGCATGTAATTTGTTAACGAACAAGACAAGGAATAAAAAAAAAAAGGAGTGCAAAGAAGAGAAGAAATTAACAAGGGGAAAATCATTTTATTCATATAATCAAGGGCGAAATTGAAGAAACCTTTTTTCTAGCAATGTGTTGCTAGATAGATTCAAACCAACAAAAAGTGGGGGCAAAAACTCATGCTTTGCCC